TGTTTGCATTTAAATGTCAACAAGAATGCCGAAATTCCAAGTTAAAATATCAGTAACATATGTGCCAAAAAAAAAAAAACTCTCAAAATTCAACTTTATTTTATTTCTCATTGAGACAGGACACAGGTGTGTCGGGAAATTCTGATTTTTAACATGTTTCTATTTGGCCTAAAGGCATACTAATATGCAATAAATATTTTTATTCTTGTTATCATTATTATTATTTTTCTCTTGAATTTCTTCCATTGGCTCACTATATTTACACACACACACTTTTTATATATATATATATATATATATATATATATATATATATATATATATATATATACACACACACAATCACACACACAAACATGAAACATACAATATAGATATATATATATATAGAGAGAGAGAGGTGCTGTAAAACTCTTGGCTTTAAACATTAGAATTTATTTTGTAATCTCTTCTTGGTTACTCCAAGAACTTTTCAGTACCACCTTGCATACACACACATGTATATATTTTTAAAAAAGAGAGAAACTGCAAACGTTTTTGGTTATAATGTTATAATCAAAAATGTTTGCTGTTTCTCTCTTTTTTTTTTTTTTTTTAAATACACATTTTTCTCTTATCGGAACACTTATAACCTTTTCCCCCTTATAACCCTAAGGTGCTTTGGTTTAGTTATTTATACAATTTAATTATTAATCTAATAATTTTTTGTGTTCAGATGATAATCTATATAAAATCTGTCTGGCTATACATTTAGCTATTTTCAAGGATAAAATATTTTAACTGTTAAATAAGAAAAAGTTTGTTGCATGTATATATTTATATAATGTTTTCATTTTTCAAAACATGGTCAATATATTGTTTTCCATGTTCATAGTTGATATTATTGAGTGTTGATTTGTTTTGTTTCTTCATTACTGTTCTTTTATTCAAGGATTGTTTTGATTTTCATATAAAAAATAGTTCTGTTTAGGAGTATTATCTTATATAGTGCAGAAAATTGTTTGAAATTTTCATTTTTACTTGGCCTTCAACAAGTTGGCATCTATTTGTAAAAATTTTCCTTAATTATAACAAGCCAATTTATGAATGAAATGTTCATTTAAAATTTTTGTTTCAAAGATTTCAAGTAGCAAATATATCTTACTTTGTGAAGTGATAGCTAGTGGGCAAAGCCTGCTAGTATATATATATATATATATATATATATATATATATATATATATATGTATGTATGTATGTATGTATGTATGTATTGGCAATATGTCATCATTGAGGCATGTCTTATAGAAGACTATGGAATTTTTCCATTTAATAATAATGGAATTTTTTGATTTTTTTCTTAATTTTTTTGTCAAAGTTTTCTTTGTATTTGGGTCTAAGTTGTTGAAAAAGACCTTAACAAATTCAAATCCTCCAAAATAATAAAAATCATAATCAACAAAAAATGCTTACAAATTCTTGAAGCCATGACAATTCAAAACCAAAAACCCAACATAAATAAAATAGGATTTAATACTGGCAGAAACATCTTAAATATATTTAATAACTAATCCTCCAAATTATAAATAGCAACCCCTCCTAAATCACTAATGAAATAATCCAACAACACGCCCTGAATAAAAAAAATATTACCTATAAAAATAAAAAGCAACCTACTTAAAACCAAAAACATAAAGCCATGATGACTGTTGACAACAACCAAAAGCGCTCAGCAACACACCAAAGGCTAGGGTCTTTTTTCAACAGCTTACACCCAAATACAAAGAAACTTGTGAGAAAGCAAAAAAAAAAGTCGAAAGGAAGATTATTAAACAGGTATATATATATATATATATATATATATATATATATATATATATATATATATTTATTAAAGACATTTTTTATGTTTAACGTTGTTATTTATAGATACAAGTATTTAAGCAAATGCTCTGTTTATGATAAACAGTATTAAATAACATTTACCGGCCTGAATGTCGAGAAATTTTCATAGAAAATATTCGTTCTTTGACAGGATTCGAACCTGCATCCTATACAGGAACCGTCATTTACGCTGACGTGCCTTACCTCTCGGCCACAAAGAACCTTTTCGGTAGACAAGGTCGAATTTACTGCTTATAAACTTCAATCTTCCATGAATCTCGTACATTCATAACTGCTCTGGCGTATCAAATGTAAACAAATGACGTCATATATTAAGAAATGGACAAGGTCCGACAATTTATTTATTAAAGACATTTTTTTTGTTTAACGTTGTTATTTATAGATACAAGTATTTAACAAATGCTCTGTTTATGATAAACAGTATTAAATAACATTTACCGGCCTGAATGTATAGAAATTTATATAGAAAATATTCGTTCTTTGACAGGATTGAACCTGCATCCTAAATATGGAACTGTCATTTACTTATTTTTACCTTCTGGGCCGAAAAGAACGATTTAGGTTTATCATAAACAGAGCATTTTTGCTTAAATACTTGTATCTATAAATAAAAACGTTAAAAATATAAAAAATATATATATATAATAAATAAATTGTCGGATATGTCCATTAATATATATATATTAATTTCATGCAAAAAAGTTTGGGACACCCTGAATTTATTTAAAAGAAAACAATTTAAAATGAGATATTTTTGTATTTTTTTAAAGTAAAAGATAAAATTTCAGTAACTGCAGTGTATTTTCTTTTACTGACAAAAAATTAGCACTTAACTATAAAATATTTTGTCTTTAATCAATAAAATCATATTTTGTTTTTATCAATAAAATCACCACTTAACTTTCCAACAGTATATGGCAGACCTTCCCATGTATTTTTCAAGCACAGAAAAAGCTCATTCTTATTCTTTTGTTCTAATTATGCATAAACCAGATGATATTGCATGTCTTTGAAAAATTGAATGATATTGTTCTTTCAACAGGACTCCCTTGATCTAAATCAAATCACCCCCAAAACACCAAAAACCATAACAGAACCATGACCATTCTGTTGGAACCAGACATTCATCATTCAGTTTTTCTTCTGGCTTTCTTCTCATATACACACTCCTCTTAATACCAAATGGTACAAATTTGGAATCCTTTATCCACAATACATTTTGCCACTTTTTCAATGTCCAGTTCTTATGCTTTTTTTTTTGTTCAGAATACACTTTTCTGCTTATTCACCTTCTGTAACAGGGGGGGGGGGTTCTAGATGGCTATGCACACCCTGAGGTCTACTGACCTATGTTGATTTTTCACAGTTGAGAGCAACACTGGTTGCTATCAAGAAGAATTAAATTAAGCTGTCAATTCTGGAGCAGTTTTCATTCTATTTCTTTTTCACTCAATAATCAAGTGTTTATCTTCAGCAGCAGTTGTTACGTTTGGCACTCCAGATCTTTTTCTGTCAACATTTGTGCCAATTTCTAACTATCTTTGTAGTGAATATTATACCTCGATTCTACAAATCTTCAACTTCTTGCCAATTTATCTTTCAGAGTAGCCTTCTTTGAATACAATTTCAATTTGTGCTGGCACCTCAATGATTAGCAGCTTTGAATTTGACATTGTGTCATAATGGCACAATCTTTTTTTTCTTCAGAGACAGTTACATATGCCTTGTTTACAACATTAGTCAGTGCTGAATTAACATTTAGAACCTGTACTAACATTTACCTTAATTAAAAATGCCCGCAATCTGAAAAAGTCTACTGAGGGGTTAATAATGAAAACAAAATATAATGTTTCACATACAAAATAGTTATAATTTAGCAAAATGTATTGTGGACAGATGAATCCAAATTTGATTTTTTTAGTAGTAAGATGAGCTTAGAGAAAGACTGAAAGATAAGAGCAAATACACCTGTAGTTACTGAAATTTTATCTTTTACTTAAAAAAAATACAAACATATCTCCTTTTAAGGTGTTTTTTAAAGAAATGCAGTTTCAAACTCTTTGCCTGAGTATATAAAGCATCATGCATAGATGGTATATGTCTGCAAACTATCCACTCATTTTGATTATCTCAATCTTGAGAACTGGGTGAATGAATGCATGAAAGAAAGAAGAAAATAGAATGCAAAGGAAAAAAATGGCTAGTAAAAGAAAGAAAGAAAAAAACAAAGTAGGAGAGAGAAAGGATATGAAAATAAAGAAAGAATGGATGAAAGAAAGAATACAGGGAAAAATTAACAATCAGGATAAAAAGAATAAAATGTAGTGAAAGAGAAGTATCAGAAGAACGGGGAAGAAGAAGAAAGAGAGAGAGAGAGGAATAGTGTAAGAAAGAAAAAGTGGGATTGGAAGGAGAAGGTTAAAGGGGTGAAAGAGAAAATAAAATTAGGAAAACAAATGCAGAATAGCAAAAAAAGAAGAAGAGAAAGTGAAGGAGAGAGAAATATAAGGAAAGCCAAGAGAGATGAAAGATTTTAATTGTGTAATTTTAACTGAAAATATGTTGATAAAAGATAAATATATCTGAACAAAAAAAATTGATTGGTTACAACTAATGGATTGAATTTAAAAAGAACTGAGCAAAAAAACTATTTCCATGAAGAAGGCAAGAAAAAAATGTAAACATTTCTAGTTTCACTTACTTCACATTTGAGAAAGTACCACTTGGTAATATCATTATTTCTTCCAGCCTTTCGACCAATTTGAGAGCCTGGTCTTCTGTAACTTTGCTGTAAAGAGATAAAAATTATATTTACTAAAAATCTGTATTCTAATGAATAGAATATTTAAAAAAAATGTTGTTTATGCCTGATGCAATTCATGAGCAAATGTAAAGTCCACACAAAATTAAGTTCAAATAGATGTTAAAAAACGGTTTTCAATCTTTAAAATTTAATAGAAACTTTAAAATTCATTTTGTAAATTAATTGTGCTTTAAACCAGTGTTTCTCAACCTTTTCTTCCTTGTAGCTCATGATTGGTGTCAAGAGAATTTTAGGCCCAAATAAGCACAAAAAGAAATTTCACTGAACAGGAAATACATTTTATTTACAAAAGCAAACTGTAGTCAAAAATACAAACAAACAAACAAACACTCACTCACTCTATCTATCTATATATCTATCTATCTATCTCAGACCATATCTGCCCCAAGTGATTCATATCTACCCAGGCCATTATCTATCTATCTATCTATCAGCTGGTCAAGTTGAACTTCCAAGCCTTGATTCAGCTTCAGGTGTAATTTGAGAATATAATTTATTATAAGAAAACAAAATGATGTTGCTTAACTTTGCTGATCATGATGGAATTGATGACTAAGCAGATTCAGGACTAGAATCTTTCAATTCCATCTTTTAATATGAGTTCTTTAATTCAATTTTTCTAAATAAAACCTTTTTATTTCAATTTTATTTATCCTCTAAAAGCCAGAAACAGACACAAGACAATATATAACAAGAAAACCCCACACTATTGATGCTGTGACAATAATGGAGGATTAAAAATAAGAGTACTTTTAATGTTTTATCACATTTGAATAAATTATGAAAAATTTACACTAATTACATGTAGTCTTTTGTCCTCATCTTTGTTGCTGCTATCATGTTTTCACTGTTGTGTCCTCCAACCTTTATCAGATATATGTCAACCTGGTTAACCTACAGGGAATTCTGAACTGAACCCTTTATTTGATCTGTGAGAGTAGAGAGTTCTTGTTCGATAGATATCAAGTCTAGTTTTAGTACTGCTCAGTTATTGCTTGCCTTGTTTTCACTAGGTCCAAGTACACAATGCCTAGCCCAGGGATTGAACTCATGACAATGGAAAGAGATCAATCTACCCCTCATATATTAAATACAGTGTTAAGTTCAGAACTTCCTGTATGTCACCTGGGTCAACATACACCTGATGAAGACCAGAGAGCACAACAGCTGAAACAGCTCTGATAACAACAAGAAAGATGAGGACAATAGTCTGCATGTAAATAGTGAAAATAATGATAACTCCTCATCCCAGAAATTCAAACAGAAATTTTGGAATGTTAATAACTCTTCAAACTAATAAACAATACTTTTAACAATTTTGTGAGTGTTCATCCAAAACAATAATGAAATCATTCTTCTTCTGTGTGCTTTTTCCCTTCAAGAATATTGGTGATCATGGCTCTCCACAGTTGATGAATTTTGTCTTCTTTTCTTATCTCTCCTAAACACTGTTAAACCATCCATTCATTCAAGCCTACGAGATCTCTATCTATAAAAGGCAAGATGTGTGTGTGTGTGTGTAACGAATGCACAGCCGCAATTTTCAACAGATTTGCACCAAAATTTACATGCACATGCTCCAAGTTAGCAGGAAGGCCATGACTGACTTTGCATTTCCCAACTCCCATCGATAGTGGAAATAATTGATTTTTTCATGCTTCTACATCAGTTTTCATGTAGTTTGCAGCCATTTTCTACTGGCCAGAGTGAGAACATATAGCTGGCTGCCACGAATAGGCAGGAAGATTCTATTGTCCAGCATGAGAGCCAACAGCTGACTGACACAAATGTTAACTAGCATGCAAAAAAAAAAAAATTGATAGCTGCATTCGTCACAAGTGGGAAAAATTTAAATCTGCATGGCACTTTACTCCAATTAGCTCATTTGCTTCCTTAAACTCAACGTTGATTCTGATTCCGCAGAACTGGGTTGCGTGTGAAAAAATATTTGTTGTTAACATTCTTTTTTCATTCAGTTTTTCCAGTTATGTGTCCTTTTTTAAAGCTGATCGTTTTGTGTTCATTTTGTTTAGTTCTTTTTTCGTAACAGATTTAATGTTTAGTATAGATCTTAGAAAAAATTTGCAGTATGAGATAGGCAAGAAGTAAGGCATGTAGCAACATCAGCACGGCAAAGGGCACTCCTTTAAAGGCAAAGAAGGGCAAAAATATTTTAAGTCAAGTGATAGCGATTGCTGTATGAGTCGTACAATTTTTGAATCAAGCACGGGCAACGCCGGGCCATGCTGCTAGTAGGTTATGTGATCTGTCCTGAGAGTATCTTTCTGATATATTACATATAAGGGGGGGGTCCCTTTTCTGTCCATTTTCTCTTACACTTGGTCATTCCTCACATGCTCGGTCCATAGTATTCCCAGTATCCTTGTATAGAACCTACATGTCTGTTGCCTTAAGTCACTTTTTCATCTGTGATGAGATAGTCCAGCATCCACTGCTATATAGGAGGACTGATATTATCTAACAGTTCAGTACTATTTTATTTTTTCTATTTCTTAATACTTTGCTTAGCATTTGGAAGGCATCTTTCACTATTCCAATGTGCATTCAGATTTCAGTATCACACTTTCCAGCCTACTAGCAGATAAAAAAACTATGTAATAACAAACCTGACAATTATAAATAAGGATATGGAAATATTTATAAAATCTATAAAAAATTTAATTAAAAACAATAAAATATGGTCATCCTATATAGAATATTATCTCACTATACATATATTAATGAAAAGTGGATGATACAAAAAATAAATAAACAGATGAAATTTGGTTCACCATAAACATATAAAATCAATATTCCATGTGACCAATAGTCTCTGGAATTGGTAGCACCACTTACAAAATTGCAAGCCTCATCCAAATATCTCTGTATAATTAAGATTTAAAAAAAGAAACTTTCAAAGTTTTAAAAAATATCAGCAATAAAACACTGATTTTGTTTTATCACTGATATTGACAGAGAAAAAACCAAAAGGATGAGACAAATGAAGAAACAAAATTGTTTCAAATGTACTTCATCATCATTAGGGTCTTGGCAAAGATCACCTTTCTTTGAACATTGTGAACTGGTACTACAGAATCATCAAGAAAGAACTGTACCAAATAACAGAAATCACATCACTTGAGTACTCCCAACAACAGCAACAACTAAAAGGGATAGGACATGTAAATCAAAGAGAAAATGATGACATAAGCAAAATGTTAATATTCCATATCACATCAAATAGAAGGTTCTGAAAGAAATCCCCATCAATAATGGAAAGAGTGGTAATAGCTATTGGATTTGAGAAACCTGTTCTCCTGAAAAATTGTTTTAAGAGAAAGATTTTATAAATTTCAACCAAAAGCAGTATGGGTAGCTCGGTTAATGCATGCCGAAAGTTTGCTTGTAAGGAAATGGCTAATATTACCAATAACATCTTGACTGAGATTTTATCAAACTTGAACATTTGTGCCTTTGTAATAAAACCTAAACATATGAAAGTGAATTTATACATTTTCTTTGTTACTGAGAATTGGCAACAAAAATACTAAACATTATTTATTTACTAGATTGTTTATATACACTATGTATCTTTAAATAACAGAAACAACATTCTTTTATTTCTTTCAACAGCAACAACTTAAATGGACAGCTCTTGTAACTCAAAGAGAAAATTCTACACTACTTCAAACAAAAGGTTAGGAAGGAAACCCTCATCATTACTGGAAAGAACTATTGGACTTGAGAGACCTGTTTTCCTAAAAGAAAAAAGGGTTTTAACTGAAAGATTTTTTTAAATTTCAAACAAAAACAGTACTGTCTGCTCAGTCAATAAATGCCAAATGTTTCCTTATAGAGAAACAGCTGATATCACCAATAATATTATCGAATCATGATATTTGTTCTCTCAAGTAAATATAAACTAAAAGATATATATAATTGAGAATGATAAGCATGAGTAAGTGTAGTGATTGTAGATATGCACCCATGCACTGAGCCAAGGTGAAACTGGTGCTATTATAAAAAGATGCTGGCTACATCACAGTCACATCTAAGACATCCTGGTAGAATGGTAAAGTTCAAGGGGGTAATGTGCAGAATGTAGAAAGAATACGTACAAGACAAGCTGGCCTTTATTGCCACATTGTTACTTAAATGTCAAGCAGAAGACTTTGACTATGAAATGGGAGACAGAGTGTCTTTAAAAGGGAAGATGATTCAATAAAAGCATAGTATAGAAAAAGAAAGTTGGGTATTAAAAGATAGTGAGAGAGAGAAGCAAGGCAGACTGAAGAAAAGACAATAGCATGTTATTTCATTTGAGTCATCAAGAAGGAAATAACAACAGCAGAAATGTTTACTCAGGGAAACTTTACAGAAAGTTACATGCTCTTGGACAGGAGATAACCAACTGATGAGAATGACATGCAAGTTAGATGCATTTTAACTACATTTATCTTGATTCCCAAGTAAAAAGCAAGGAAGAGAAAAGTGAAAAATTCTTTCTTTATGCTTCTGAAATTATATACTGAGACAAAGTCAACAATATGTATCTAAAGTCACACACACTACTACAAATGATATAAAGATTGCATTGAAGTATGAAAATGACAGTCACCATGTAAAGTTGATTCTTATGTCCACACTCACCGTTTCTGATACTGTGCACCCTTCCCTTATAAATATAGCTAATTTTAAACATTAATATATACATATAACTACTATTTTAACCTATTCAAGCCTAGGGCCAACCACTATCTAGCCTATGTTATGCATCTTTTATTTCCTCCTTGTGTGCCTTTATAACAACCTCATTCAGTCACCCTCTACTTTGAGTTACTCACTGGTCTTGTATTGGGTGAACATTAATGTATATATTCTTATTACTTTAAATGTTATTATTATTATTATTTTCTTTTTTCATGTTTGAGTAAATGCTCTCTTTATTTTTGAAATGTTATTTTAATTTCCAACATGAACATTCAAGAAATATTAATAAAGAGAAGTGCACTCTCCAGCAGTATATGAACCTGTGTCCTGTTACACAGGAGAAACTGTTCTTTAATAAGATTTCTTGAATGTTCAAACCAGTAGATAAAATAAAATACTGTTTAAAAAAATAAAAAGGAGCATCTACTCAAATATGGGTATTCCACTAAATAAAAAAAAGCAAAAAAAAAAAAAAACGTTTAAAGTAATTAAACACAGTGGAATGAGAACAGGATTAAACCATGGATTAAATAAAGGGTTCAATTCAGAATTCCCTGTAGGTTACCCAAATCTATATACACCTGAAGAAGACTAGAAGGCACAATGGCCAAAATTTTTGTAGATAACAACAATAATCTGAATATAAAAAATAGTATAATTAATGATGATAACTCATCCAAGAAATTCAAACAGTAATATAAATGTCAGATTAATAAGTAAGTATCCATTATTTTCTTTATATATGTACATATATATACTGCTATTGCTTAACAA